GGGGGGGCTGAGCTTCCCCGAAAGCCCCTGGGGAATCAGAGTCAGCTTCCTTCTGCACTGCCCTGCTATCCGCTGGCGACACCGCAGGAGGGAGGGAGCCCCAGAGGCCAAGGGAACGTGCCGGCTGCCTCCCGGCTACGGCGCCGGTGGTCCTGACCTCGTGGCCCGCCGAGATGTGCCAGTTGAGAAGTTAGTCCCCTGCGGCGCAGCCCACAGTGGTTATGCATTTTGTGAAACTGCCTATTCAGTGAGATGAACGTCACTATTAATTTTACTAGGCATTTATGAAACAATTAAATTTCTCCACTCATGAGGATTATGCAAAATACTTAGAACCATAAATATAAAATGATGACTAAGATAAATAAGCTCCCAAGTTTAGGGTATAAAGAATAAATGTCACATGGGCCGCTTCAGATTTATCAATGAGGCAGCAATTGAGGCATCTACAACTATTTGAGGAATTGTTTCCCTAAGGCTTGAATTTAAGTTTCTGGGTTTTGGCCTTCATTTATGTTATCTAACTTTTTTTCAGAGAAATTCTAAATAGGCCACGGGCGGGGCAGCTAACCTAAGGCGAGAAGGCAGTTTTGATCCGGTGTTTAGTGGATCACAGCTGTGTATCCGTGAGGTCCCAGCAGAGCCACAGATGTTACAGGATGTTAAGGAGAACAAACAGACATTGCTAGGAATGGTGACAACTTGCCAGGTGTCTTTTTTTTAATTTGTCAGTTTTTCCTTTTTTTTTTTTTTTAATGTTGAAAACATACACAGGAAAACATACACCAATTCAACAATTTCTGTATGTATAATTCATTGACGTTGATCGCATTCTTCAAGCTGTGCAACCATTTTCACCCTCCTTTTCGCAGTTGTTCCTCCCCCGATGATACAGACTCACTGCAGGCTAAGCTTCCTATTTAACCTTTCAAGCTACTGTTGTCAAATGGATCCTATAGAGATAGTCCTTTAAGAGAGCACAATGCTCAAGGCAGACATTCTTTTTTTTTTTAATTGTTGTACTTTAAGTGCAAGTTTACAATTCAAGTTAGTCTCTCATACAAAAATTTATGCATACATTGTTATGTGACCCTAATTGCTCTCACTATACTATGACAGCACACTCCTCCTTTCCACCCTTGATTTCCCGTGTCCATTCAACCAGCTCCTGACCCTCTCTGCCTTCTCATCTCACCTCTGGACAGGAGCTGCCCATTTAGTCTCGTGTATCTACTTGAGCTAAGAAGCACAGTCTTCACAAGTATCATTTTACATCCCATAGTCCGGTCTAATCTTTGTCTGAAGAGTTGGCCTCGGGAATGATTTTAGTTCTGGGTTAACAGAGAGTCCAGGGGCCATGCTTTCTGGGGTTCCTCCAAGTCTCAGACCATTAAGTCTGGTCTTTTTACTAGAATTTGAATTCTGCATCCTGCTTTTCTCATGCTCCATCAGGGACTCTCTGTCAAGGTAGACATTCTTTACTAATGCTTACTAAACTATTGGTTTTTCTAATTATTTTTGTTTTATTTGTTGCTGTTTTTCCCTAAGCTTGCTTTCTCTCTTTTTTTTTTTAATTGTGATTTAGGTGAAAATTTACAGAGCAAATTACTTTCTCATTAAATGGTTAATACACAAAATTGTTTTGTGACACTGGTTGCTAACTACTTTTTTTATTGTGCTTTAGGTGAAAGTTTACAGAGTAAATTAGTTGCTCATTAAACAATTAATACACAAATTGTTTTGTGACGTTGGTTGCCAACCCTGGGATTTGTCAACACTCTCCCCTTCTCCACCTTGGTTTCCTCATTTCCATTCATCCAGTTTTCCTGTCCCTTCCTGCCATTGCATCTAGATAGCCAACACAGCCAGGAGCTGCTTAGCCATTGTCAAGCAAGACCTGCTCCTCCTGTCCATTTGCAAACAAAACCTTAGGTGATGGCGATGGGTGTGGCTCAACCCAGAGCTGTTCAGACCAAGCGGAACCGCCCCTCCTGTCCATTGTCCTCAAAGTGCTGGGTGTGGCTTAAGCCAGTCAAACCCAGTTTACTAGCCTACATGCCAAATAAAAAAATACAATTTGTCTTACTGTGCCTGCATACCAGGATAACCTACCATAGTCCGTAATGTTTGTATGTACTTCCTTGAGGTTCTGCTTCCCTTCGTTCAGGGAGCTTGATCTGAGGTATACACTTCCTTGTTCCTTGCCTGCTTGCTTACAATAAACACTCTTCCTCCCTCCTCACCTTGGTGTGTCTTTATTGGCAAGAAGCCACACTGAGTGGGACCTGCTTTGGGTAACAATCTTTGCTTTGGGGCTGGTGTACCCATCTAGTCTCATACATATAGTGGAATTACATGTGTTATTGTTTGTTTTACAGGCCTGTCTAATTTTTTGCTGAAGGATGAATTTTAGGAGTAACCTCCATACTTAATTAAAAGGGTGTCTGAGGGGCATGCTCTCAGACTTTCTCTAGTAGGTCAGACCAGTAAGTCTGGTCTTTTTTTTTTTTTGTGAGTTTGAGTTTTGTCCTACATTTTTCTCCTGCTCTGTCCTGGACCATCTCTTGTGATCCCTGTCAGAGCAGTCGGTGATGGTAGCTGGGCACCATCTAGTTGTTCTGGACTCAGTCTGGTGGAAGTTGTGGTAGTTGTGGTCTATTAGTCCTTTGGACTAATCTTTCCCTTGTGTCTTTAGTTTTCTTCATTCTCCTTTGCTCCAAGGGGGTGGGACCAGTGGGTGTATCTTAGATAGCCACTCACAAACTTTTAAGACCCCAGACGCTACTCACCGAAGTAGAATGTAGAACATTTTCTTTATAAACTATGTAGTGCAATTGAGCTAGATGTCCCGCACGACCATGGTCCCCAGCCCTCAGCCCAGTAATTCAGTCCCTCAGGGAGTTTGGATGTATATGAAGCTTCTATGACTTTGCCTTGGTCAAGTTGTGCTGACTTCCCCAATATTTTGTACTGTCTTACCCTTCCCCAAAGTTGCCACTTATCTATTGTCTAGTTAGTATTTTTCCCTCCCCACCCCTCCCCTCCCTCCTAATGATCAAAGAGTATTTCTTTCTGTGTGAAAACCTTTTCATGAGTTTTTATAATAGTGGTCTCATACAATATTTGTCCTTTTGCAGTTGACTTATTTTGTTCAGCATACTGCCCTCCAGATTCAGAGATGTTTCGAAGATTCATCATTGATCTTTATATCATTGTGTAGTATTCCACTGTGTGTATGTACCATAGTTTGCTTATCCATTCTTCTGTTGATGGGCACTTAGGTTGTTTCCATCTTTTTGCTATTGTGAGTAATGCTGAAATGAACTTGAGTGTACATATGTCTATTCGTGTGACGGCTCTTATTTCTCTAGAATATATTCCTAGGAGTGGGATTTCTGGATCATGTGGTATTTCTATTTCTAGCTTTTTAAGGAAGCACCATATCATTTTCCAAAATGGTTATATCATTTTGCATTCCCACCAGTAGTGCATAAGAGTTCCAGTCTCCCCACAGCCTCTCTAACATTTGTTATTTTCTGTCTTTTTTTTTTTTTCATTAGTGCCAGTAATGTCAGGGTAAGATGATATCTCATTGTAGTTTTGATTTGCATTTCTCTAATGTCTAGTGATCATGAGCATTTCCTCATGTGTCTGTTAGCTGCCTGAATGTGTTCTTTGGTGAAGTGTCTGTTTATATCCTTTGCCCATTTTTTAGTTGGATTATTTGTCTTTTTGTTGTAGAGGTATTGGATTTTCCTGTAGATTTTAGAGATTAGAACTCTGTTGGATATGTCATAGCCAAAACATTTTCCTAGTCTGTAAGTTCTCTTTTTACAGTTTTGGTGAAGTCTTTTCATGAGCATTAAGTGTTTAATTTTTAGGAGCTCCCCGTTATCTAGCTTATCTTCTGGTGTTTGTGTATTGTTAGTTATGGTCTGTATTCTATTTATCCTATTATTTATATTAGAACCCCTAGCACTGACCCTATTTTTTTCTTCCATGATCTTTATTGTTTTAGATTTTATACTTAGGTCTTTGGTCCATTTTGAGTTAGTTTTTGTGTTTGGTGTGAGGTATGGGTCCTGTTTCATTTTTTTAAAGATGGACATCCGGTTTTGCCAGCACCGTTTGTTAAAAAGACTGCCTTTTCCCCATTTAATGGACTTCAGGCCTTTGTCAAAGATCAGATGACCGTAGGTGGATGGATTTACATATGAGTTCTTGATTCTGTTCCATTGGTCAATGTATCTGTTGTTGTACCAGTACCAGGCTGTTTTGACTACTGTAGCTGT